TAGTAGTAGTACTACTACTACCAGGAGTAAGATAATATACCCTATACTATAGCCTATAGGATATATCCTATATTATCTTACTACTACTACTACTACTAGTAGTTCTTTTGCATATGAGGGATATCCTGTTTACAATATGAAACCATCCCACTAAATTTATAACAGGTTTTGTTTTAGTTTACCTACAGTTGACATAAGCACGTGTGCTTAACAATACTGAATTATTATTATCCGCAGTAATCCCGATATCAATATTTTCTTTGCTTATCTGCATTTGATGCTCAATTGTTTATTATTTCGGCTAAAATTCAGGGTATCTGAAAACACCGGAATGAACCAAAACGGCCCGAAGGAGACCATTAATCTGTCTTGTAACAGATATATTTAACTCTAGGACCGCAGTTTAAACTTTAAACTTGCATTCTATTTAACTATATACACGCGTTGGTACGTTTATGAATATCAACAACCGCAAAGAATTATATAGGTCTTTGATAATAATCACTATCAGGACAGAAGTGAATAAAAAATTTTTTGTTTAGTTATGGTCGCTAGGGGGCACCACATCCTTTCCTGTAATGGCGTGTGCACGGCTATGCAACGTTTACCATATGCACGTTTACTTATTTTGATATAGACCAAGGAAGCTATATATAACAGTATATATACAGCTTTTTGATAGAAGCGACTGTTAACGTGTGCCTGTTGTGGCCAACTAATTAAGAGTAGGCCCTAACATTCATTCTGCAAAGAGGAATCAAGAGCCATGCGTCTTGAGAAGTGCTACTATTGCTCGTCCACTGTTTACCCTGGTCATGGCACAACCTTTGTAAGGAACGACTGCAAAGTGCGTATAAAACGGTGATCGAATCTTACATAGCCTATCATATATATGTATGTCATTTAAGGACACTGTGTTACGTCATGCACATAACCTACTTGGTAAACTGCCACTTTCACTTTCAGGCTTCAAGTTCAGCCTTCACATCCCACCTTTTAGTACCTGATTTTCCTCCAGTAGTGGCACTGCCACTGACCCCTGCCACTGGCAGTACTTTAATGTTAGATTAAAAACGTTGGTTTAAAACGCGTGTTGCCTTAATATTTTCACGCCATTACTACACACCCGTGCACAAATTGAAGATAGATTTCGACCATCGTTTCTTGTAGCCAGCAGCATACATCGCACCCCCTAAAATCACATACGGTTGGATGACCGTTAACAAATCTTGTAAATTTGTGCATAAAATACCAAGTTAATGCACGTTTATCCTACTATCTTAATCTACCATTAAAGCCCTGCAACTTCTACAGGAAACTAAATACACCAGAAAAAGTGAAGTAGTAAAAGTAGGTTGTGTGCATGCATATACAGAAGATAGTGGTATAATAATAATAATATTGTTTCATTTTGGCATGTCATTGAACATGCTGAGTGTCTTCACAAACCTGAATGTCTTTTTATTTATTGCAGGTTTTTAGGTTTTGTCGGTCAAAGTGCACGAGGAACTTTAAACGAAAGAGAAATCCCCGCAAGTCAAAGTGGACAAAAGCATTTCGTAAATCTGCTGGCAAGGAGTTAGCAGTTGACCCTGCTTTTGAGTTTGAAAAAAGACGATTTGTCCCAATCAAGTATGACAGAGACCTTTGGCAGAAGACAAGTATGTTTTCAAAATTTATTTAAAATGTCTTTCCTTCAATTGTACCATTCATTTTGTTAACTCATATGTGAATGGTCCTGTGATAAAGAATGATATATATTAACTTTCTCATATATACAGTAGCTATGCTGGTAGATATGACCACACTCTCAAACCTAGTAATATTAATAAAAATTAATAAAAGATCTCCTGACATGTTAAAGCAATTATTGCGAGAATTTTCCAGTGTTTTCACCACTTTCATGACACCTACCGTTATTGCTTGAGTAACAGCAATTGTCTAGAGTAACAATAAAATGTCTTAGAACCTTCGTATTCACTAAAAACTGCCAGTTTCGAACTACTGGTTTCGAACTAGTTTTGTAAACATTCGTTTTCTGTTATCTTGAACTAGGCGGAAGTGTGGATTAGCTTGTGGCGCTACCGCTTATCTGCCATAGACAAAGCATGGCTCTCTCAAATCATGCACTTGTTTTCAATTAATCACCGACACAAATACAAGTTTACCAATTCGGCCATTAGGCATTGTCGCGACACGATAAAATGCATTGCTGTTACGATGTGTTCATATCCAATTTTCTATGCTATAACTGCATAAAATCGTTGTATTTTTAATGTTGGTGTAATCAGTGATATTTTCGCTGTCAGGTGATACTATATTCAGCTATATTTAGTTTTTCTGAGCAAAAATCTCGCAATAGTCATTTTAATGGTGTATAGTTTAATATAGAAAAGTTAATAAGCCTGTCATAGGTAGCATATAACCTCAAATGTCTTCATTTTTTTATTTAGTTGAAGCTATGAAGCGAGTGGAAGAAATCAAGACGAAAAGACAAAACCAATTCGTACTAAACAGGTGACAGTTGCCATGTGCATTGCGTAAACCTTTCCTAGGTGCTCGATTTAGGACGCTTAGCGCTACACTAAAAATTCTGTAATATTGGTATTTCAGTTATTTGTGATGAAACATAACTTACCCGATATATCAGGTTTAATCATTAATACAAAGAGAATATTAATATATAGAGCATACACTGGTAAATTGTATATAAATCATATTATGGAATCAGTTATATTTCTTACCTTTAATCAAATTGTTTATAAATGCACTTTATATTTAATAGTCTTCATTCTTAACACGATAACAAGGAATTCGTCAGACAATGGGTCCAGCAGTGAGCTGACTTGTTTATACCCTGTGCATTGCAACAGCCACTAGTGCACAGTAGTACACAGTTGTGGGGGGAAATTGTGCCGGATAATGGGTCCAGCATGCAAGTGAAATCTGCTGGTCCTTCACCAAAAATGCTTATGGTTGAACAAGTCTGATGAATTCGCTGTCTGTGATAAATAACATGTCCATGTCGAGTATTGCTTTTTTTGCCATCTATCTGGATATATATGTGCATCTGTAAGAATTTACTTTTTATTTTGATATTTTGGTTATTTGCTTGGATTCGTGTGCATCGATATAAGAATATGTCAGTGTTGGTTGAGACGGGCTCATGATGCCACACGTCCTCAAATGATTATTTTACTTCATAGGTTGAAAAAGGGTAAAGAATTGAGAAAGGAGGCTGACATCAAGGAGGTGCAAAGGAACATCAGTTTAATAAAGTCCCCTGCAGGTTCGTCATAATTATTGCATTAGATATTTAGTTTTTCTGAGCAAAAATCTCGCAATAGTCATTTTAATGGTGTATAGTTTAATATAGAAAAGTTAATAAGCCTGTCATAGGTAGCATATAACCTCAAATGTCTTCATTTTTTTATTTAGTTGAAGCTATGAAGCGAGTGGAAGAAATCAAGACGAAAAGACAAAACCAATTCGTACTAAACAGGTGACAGTTGCCATGTGCATTGCGTAAACCTTTCCTAGGTGCTCGATTTAGGACGCTTAGCGCTACACTAAAAATTCTGTAATATTGGTATTTCAGTTATTTGTGATGAAACATAACTTACCCGATATATCAGGTTTAATCATTAATACAAAGAGAATATTAATATATAGAGCATACACTGGTAAATTGTATATATATCATATTATGGAATCAGTTATATTTCTTACCTTTAATCAAATTGTTTATAAATGCACTTTAACAAGGAATTCGTCAGACAATGGGTCCGGCAGTGAGCTGACTTGTTTGTACCCTGTGCATTGCAACAGCCACTAGTGCACAGTAGTACACAGTTGTGGGGGGAAATTGTGCCGGATAATGGGTCCAGCATGCAAGTGAAATCTGCTGGTCCTTCACCAAAAATGCTTATGGTTGAACAAGTCTGATGAATTCGCTGTCTGTGATAAATAACATGTCCATGTCGAGTATTGCTTTTTTTGCCATCTATCTGGATATATATGTGCATCTGTAAGAATTTACTTTTTATTTTGATATTTTGGTTATCTGCTTGGATCCGTGTGCATCGATATAAGAATATGTCAGTGTTGGTTGAGACGGGCTCATGATGCCACACGTCCTCAAATGATTATTTTACTTCATAGGTTGAAAAAGGGTAAAGAATTGAGAAAGGAGGCTGACATCAAGGAGGTGCAAAGGAACATCAGTTTAATAAAGTCCCCTGCAGGTTCGTCATAATTATTGCATTAGCAAATTAATGCACTACTGGTCACCTATGTCGGATACACCCTGATAATGACTTGAGCTTACTCTTACCCATTATGTATTTCATCATATTCATTCATGGTGCCGTGCATAGAGATGTATCGTAGTGTTCGTTGGTGTGTACTCTACAGATGGTCTCTTTCTATTTTTTCGCTGTACAGCAACAACAGCCAGACTGGAACAGAGGGTGGTACAAGTCACACACGAAGACTCGGAGGAGGATGCAGAAATGGAGGAAGCGTGAAGCACTGTTGTTGGCCCCATGCAGCGACAGATGCACGGATTTAGAGAATATCATCAGTAAATTGGCATCGATTTTAAAGTCTTTTAGGGAGATCTTCTCAAGAGTGGAATTGCACAGCATCTGCATTTTCTCAAGAGTAGATGAGCACGCAACTTTGAATAACATTGTGACGGACCTATTGTCGTTGCCTGTTGCAACCTGATGTACCTTTGGTAAAAATGCCTGTTAGCATTTAACAAGGTTACAGTGTTATATGCCATACCTGTACAATGTTGACCTTGTAGCTATTCGTGACACCTTGTATGACAACCCGTGAAATAGAATTTTTCCGAATTTGAAATCGTGGATGGAGTTGTCATATAGTATTGAAGCAGAAACAAGTGCTGAGCAACAGTATACTCTGTGTCATTGGGAGAATGTGCATACGTTTTGTGCAAGTCGAATATAAATTTACAAAGAGTAAAAATCTTGTCGTTTAGTTTGTATGTCAGCTTGTTTGTTGTATGTAGTCATTTGTTTATGCATATTTATAAGGTTACAGCGGGACAATCGGTTGTAAAATTATAGTCGAGCATGGGTCACAGAGTAAAAACGGCTGATCTTGCTAAATTAAACGCTTGATCGAAGCAAAAATAGAAAGCGTATGATTTGATTCACTTGGAAGAAAAATACATTTTTATTTTATCCACACAAATTATACAGGTTGGATATGTACAACTAAGATATCTTACCCTTCACATTACTTTGGCTATTTTCTTATAATATTGTTATCACACCACTAAACTTCAGTTACATGCACGCTCTAACTTTCAGTATGACTAGGAGGTTGCAGAGGTGAATCGAACGTTAGGAAGTTTAACAATAGACCTGTAAATGAATATATACATATAAAGATATATATGTAATGGTGCTGCCAATGGGCTACTGCACAGAAGGGAATAAAAGTAGGAATGCTCACCATGTATCTATAAACGGGCAAATATAATATATATAATACTAATACCTATACATCACAACAACAAACATAAACAACAAACATAAACAACAAACATTATGTGAAGGCATGTAGAACATGATCGTGCTTACCTATACATAACAACAACAAACATAAACAACAAACATAAACAACAAACATTATGTGAAGGCATGTAGAACATGATCGTGCTTACCTATACATCACAACAACGACATCTGTTATTAAACATCTTTGGCATAAAATATCAGCAGTGAAAATCTGCAACAAAATAGTGCATTTATAAATGTGCTCTTTAAATAAATACTGATATGGACCCAGTTGTGAAAAAATATCACGCACCAGTCTGTTACATCACAAGCAGAAAATGCTAAAATATAACAAGCATAAATTACACAATGAAATGAAAATGTAAATTCTTCATCTCCAGTCCATTTTAGGCATCTCTCTGTATTCATTTCGTGAAAGAGGTTACCTATTTCCTAATCATAGAAGTTGAGATAATGACCAGACATTAGAAGCTATATAATGTCAAAAATATAAAATAACTGCAATGACGAATGTAAAATTAAACGACATCAGCTGGTATTAACGTTTTCTCCCTGACATTTAAATTATGTTTAAGTTACTTGGTCTGTGAACTTCGCGAGTCGTTAATTTCGAGGTCGGTGAATTCCCGAATCAGTGAAGAACAGCGTGGTGTTATTTTCGCGGGCATCCCCCGCGTTCGCTAAATTCGCGAAAATTGAACCACCGCAAAATACACAGCGTATACAGTAACTTGATGGTCATACCACTACTGTAGCGAGCAGGCCAGGTGTGTCGCGTTCTCGCAGCAGCTAGTGCACCTGTCCTGTAGAGGGCGTGGTGGAATGAGGTCTAGATCCTCATCATCCGGCAGTGTGTCCAGATTGTATCCATCTTTGATCAACTGCTGCTGTATCTGCCACCGTGTTTCTTGCGACAATTGCTGGAGGTTAAACTCCTCCTCCTCATCGCTGCAATAATAAATGAAATAAATAAGCAATGAATAATAAAGCAATAAATGAACCTGATCGACACAGATTGCAGATTTTTGTGTGCCCACTAGGCTACTGTCCTAGTGGTCTAGTGAAGAGATTGACAGTTTTCACTGGCGGTGCTGCCGCATGCAGGCTCTCTTCTTGACACCGTTTCCACACTCTTTCTCTTTTTGCTGAGTACTAAGCAGAGAAGCAGTGTGTACCATTTTTCAAGTCTTTGGTATGACCCCGCGTGCCGGGAGTCGAACCCATGACCTTCCACATGCGAGGCAAGCACTCTACAAATTGAGCCATCGCAGCGGTATCAGTAGGTATGCAGCGCAGATAGACACAGAGAGGAAGAGAGGGAGATAGAGAGCGAGAGAGAGAGAGAGAGCGAGGGGGAGGGAAGGAGGGGAGAGAGAGAGCTCTCAATGAGGACAGTTGCTACGTGCGGAATCAAGGTGTCACTTAACCACTGCTTCTTGCATTATAGGCGATTGCCTGAAACCATTGCTAATCTGATTACAACAACTCAAAGACAACAGGCCACCTTTCACGCAGTCAGGCATTGTATGCATGTGCAATGTGGGAATAAGTAAATAACACGTAAAACTAGAGAAAGCACTCCGGCAAATCGAATCTGCTAATGGCTTTTCCGTGCCTATGCCCAGTAATCAACTTAGAAAGCCTTTGTTAGCTGGATGCGTATCCCTTGATAGATTTGCAGTGGGCCAACCATATACACTGTGACGTGTCGCTTACAAAGCCACATACCTGTCTGATTGCCACGAAACGAGTGGCTGCTCATCTGGCCGTCTGTCTGTAGATGTTCCCTTGCCAGGAACTGATAGCCTGAGACAATAAGAAAAGATAAACTGTAAAAATTAGTTGCACATCATCGTTCATACGTAAAAGACGCGAAACACACAATGCTGCAATTCCACCTGTTGTGAGAGAGATAACGTGACATGCCCTACATTTAGCTTGCGTACCAGGGCAGACGTCCCCGACACATAATTCCTTCGAGTTCAACATTGATTTAAGCGGTATTACTACCGAGAGGGACACGAGCTAACAACAGCGAAAGAGATTACCATGCGCAATGTAATTTACAAGTGCAGTGGTTCTACCTAACGTGCTGCAAATCAGGGCGCGCGCGCGGCCCCGTTTGGGAAAACTCCCCCTGCTTTCAATCGTTTGCGCCCCGTATTAAATTACTCTCGCCCCATTAAATTCCACCTGACAATAAAAGTTTGCCAGCGCGGGCTCAATAGATCGTCAAGGATATTCCCATATGACCAGGAACCGAGCCGGCTGCTGTGCTATTCTTTACCGTGCCACGCTTGCACTGCAGACTAATTACACAAGCTACAAACAGTTACCTGTATCGAACCCTAACACTAACTGTAACACCGGAACTCGGCTATCTTATTTATATTACAAGCAACCCCAGAATACCGTCTTATGGTGTCGGTGGCGGATTTTATGCACTTAATTAGTGGTACAGGTAGAAAAACACGCCCCCGGACTCACCCTTAGTTTCTCCCCGCCCCCCTCCTCCCCCTGTTTTGAATTTCATCCTTTGGGGAGAACCCCTGAGTGATGTGATAAAAACTGTGGGAAAGTAGCAAGGAACTTCATGGCTAACATCAGTCACGTAAATGCAGTGGAATTCAAGAGCCACTTTAATCTCATGTTAAGATGCAATGCTGACCATCTATGAAGATAATTTTTAAACTGCTTACTTATGTATACAAAATATCACCAGTCCTAAGAGATATTTTCACTAAAGAAGATTGTCTGAAATTTCTAACCGCTAACATTTCTTACCCACAGTTTTTGGAAAAATTGTCAATAGTTTGTAAAACACAGCTTTGCTAGTGTTAGCTTGAGCCTAGTGTTTTAATAATACGAAGGACAAATTTTCGTATACGCGACAGATACATGCTGCCAGTATAATGTTTTAAAGTGACCAAGATGTTGAAGGGGGGCGCCAAAGTGTGTGAATATGTTTCAACATGAAAATCGAAATTGTTTTTGTTAAACTCTCTACATTATTATGCGTGTATTTTGCATTCTACATTGCGCCTGTATGTATACTTCAAAGGGGGATGGACTGTGGTGATGTCAACAGAGGGTGGCAGTGGTCTTGGCATCGCAATGTAAGTCCAGGAATACGGTCTCTAATTGGACATGTACAGCTCATTTATACTTATATTATATACACTATAGCATGAGATTGTATTTTGAATGATGGACCTAATGCAATTTTGAATTACCAGGATTAGGCAGTAGAAACTGGTAGCTGGAATAAGGGACGAAAATGAGGTTACTTAGCTAATGTTATCGTTATGTGTTCGTATATACAGTGGGTATACCTTATGTATGCTGTTAAGCAATGACGTGAGCCAAAGCATGAAGGACAAAAATCAATTCACAGTGCAAATAAACAGTCATAGTATATATGCCAAGAACTATACTTTACCATCCGTAAACTACAGAATCGATTATATCTTTTAAATATATTCATAAAATAACTTTGCATTGCGTTTCCATATATATAGTATATATATATATATATATATTATAT